GCAACAGATTAAAAATAAGATACATATTAAGCAGGGAAAATATCCAAAGAGACGATGTGAAATGTCTACTGCATATGGTGAGATTTATCTGGAAGTTAAAAGTCCCGTAACTAACAAATAATTGACTACTTTTTTTCTAACCTGTCTATATCCAAGAAGAGAAACTAACATTCTTTTTACCCCCTTTGTTCATCTCAGATAGACTTATTAATCTCTTTTTTGCATGTTTTTAGTTATAGCCCACTTTTGTAAGACATCCTGGCGTATTTAATGTCTTAAGAACATCGGAATGCTTTACTTTATGCATTCAAAATGCACCTGATTTACATGGGACGACGCGTCCAAAATGCCTTGACTAAGCATCCACGATGTCGTACGAAGACACTATAGATGCATAAAACTGGAATCCAGTCGCCTTCGTAAGGCATCGTGACGCATCCTTTACACGAAAATATTTTCTTACTGATCAAAAATGAGGCTGCATTTGAGGCACCTGAAGTGATAAAGAAATGCACCTCCGTTTTCACAATGTGACGAGGAAACCTCGATCGATCGTTTTTTACTCAGAATCAACTTTAGCATAAGTCATTTTTTATAAGGTGTTACTAATTGAAAATTACAGCGCAATTTTTTTCTAAATCTTTATACATGCATGATTGGGTAAAGTGCATCGAACTGAGTAAGAATATGTGTGATTTTTCCCATATCAAAAAATCCAATGTTGTTAATTTTTCCCTCTATAAAAGATTTGTGAACAGGTAAATCACACATATTCTTAATCAGCTCGATGCGCTCTATCCAACCATGTATAAATGTTTTGCTATAATTTCCAATTACTGACATCTTACTGGTCACCAGTCTGTATGTCTTTCCATAGACCTTTCTTGGATGAGCTTTCAGGAATCTGTAGAGATGCATGTGGGTAAGTTACCCATGTCTAAAAGGATAATGAATTAGTTTTGATAAAACTGAACAGTTATAACTGTTCAGTTTATTCATGTCGAAAAGTTTTGGAGACTATAGTCTCCAAAACTTTTCGACATGAATAGCTCGATGTATTCTTCAAACTCACAGTATCGGTATGTGTTCAATTGAAAGCTCTTCATGCATTCCTTGAATCTCGATTCGTGAAAGCTTCTCCAAGAAAGATCTTCAAAGACAAAGACATATAGACTGATGATCAGTATAAAAAAGTACTTATATTAAAGTTTATTCCGAGTAGAAAGCGATACTTGATCAGTAAATCGATCCCCTAGTTTTACAGATCCAACAGCGGCAACTCAGATACGTTGACCATTGTCTGCAAAGAGAAAAAGACGAGCTGATTAACAAGTACGTCCTCTATTCGCCCAAAGAAAGCCACGGCAAACGAAAACAGGGCAAATCACGCCTATTATATCCGGCATATATCGACAAGCTCATCAAAAGCGATACGCCGCCATCGGTCGACGAGTTACGAGCAGCTGCAAACAACTGGGCCAAGATTGTTGACGCCTGTAAGCCAAAATTGTTTGCAGTCGACTGATGTCGATGATGACTTGATCAGACTCCCTCGTAAGAAGACTGATAAGCAAAAGACTATGTTATTTCTTTCTTGAGTGGCTCGCTCTAAGATTAAGTGCTATCACGTACCGTGAATGTGTCTTATCTTAAAATCTTACTGTAGACAAGAAATCTGTTCCAGATTGTTTTTTGTGAGCTGTTAGTGAAGGCTAATCGCCGACTAACAAATTATCTTTTGTCTAATAGCAAGCGTTTTTTAAAGCATTTTTTTTTTTGTGGTGAAGCAGCAATTAAATTGCGACTATTGTATTCAATTGAAATCTTATCAAGTCATAAGCATATGTTTAACAATGTATTATATGTTCAACCTTGTAATCATAAAAATTAATAGAAAAAAAAAGAAAGTGCTTGTTAAACAAGGCTGATTAAACAGGCGAGAGACAGAGAGAAGAACAACAATTCGTTTCATTGAACAACGAGAATTTAATAGGTATGTAGATTAATATTAACGTATACTTTATGTTTCTATTCGTGATGTTGTTTCTGCTGGTGATATTATTATTATTCCTCTCTTCGAATAATGAGAGAAAAAAAAAAAGAGAAAAGTAAAAAAGTAACATTACAAAGCTACTTTTAGGGATTTTAACAAAATTTAAAAACAATATTGTGCTCATGTACATAAAACAAGATTGTTCTGCAATAAAATTTTGCTCATTTTTCACACATTGTTCATTAAAAATTTGTAGATCATATTTTTCCGAGCAAAGAATCGCAATCGATCATATACAGTCTTTCGGGAGAAGAGAATCATGCCAGAAAAAACGTCCAGTATTGTTGACTGTGTGAAGTCAGAAAGGAAAACGAAGAAGATAGAAGTAGATGAGAAACCTGTTAAAGTAGAGGGAGATTACTCGAGAAAGCGTGTCGATATTAACAAACGAGAACACATGTAAAAATCTAATGTTTTCTAAGTGTTCAAAGGAACCAACTTCACCTCTGAAATCTAACCGGTTTTATGTATATGTTAATGGCAAACATCCCCACTGACTGTTAGTGTACATATTTATTTACTGATTTTACAGATAGGTCAACATTCTTATCACTTGAACTTTAAGCAATTGTGTAGAAGTAGGCATAATATCTACTATATGGAATGCAAGGTAAGGTACTCGTACATCTGAAAATTAACTTACAAAAGGATAGTACAGTGTCTCATGTAAAGAGATATCATTCGAATACTTTATAACAGAAAAACTAAGATAATTGAAGATTTTGAATGTATGCCATAGGACTCAATTTTATACAAAAATCCTTATTAAAGTATTTTGTTAGTAATTCAGTAATCTTGTAAGATTTATCTATCTATCTTTGTCATCGAGTAAAGTTAAAGTCCAACTCCTATTTTATTTCTATGCTGATTTAATACATATAGCAATGAACACACACCTACACATACTCACGCTTTTTTTTTTGTAGTTGAATGAAAATACCAGTACACGTCTAAATTCTGAATCTAATCGCTGCTGGTTTATACATAATATGATGTTTTTATTTTGCTGATATGTATTATAACTCTGTTTTTTTAATATTTACTTTTTCAAGTACAACATTTTTTTTTTCTTGCTCACAATATATTATTCTTAAATATTAATCAAGATTGTTGTTGTTTTTATAACAGAAGAAAATAAATACTAAGAAGGCAAAATCTTCGATTTTCTACTTACCATATGATCAGCAACGACTCGATTCTATTGATGTTTAAAGTTCAGAGAAAGATGACGTTTTCTTAAAAAAGAATGTTCATGTTCTCTTGGAATATATAGATTTTTATCAATCATGTACTGTACAGATGAAAGTTGAAAAAGATGAATATTTTGATTAAACGTGAGATATTTTTACTAAAAAACCTTTCATTCACTTTTAGACGTGCCTATATGAGCTGATTACCAATTACTAATAGCTTTGAATTCAACAGTCAGCTGTTTAATTTTCAATCACTTTCAAAAAACATGAAACACTCTCTTATTATAAAATTTTTCGGAAAATTTTCTCTAATATTTGTAAATGATTAACACAAAGTTTCTGATTTAGTATGTCGTACAAGGGTTAGAAGCTACTTCATATGTGCATAAATAAAACCGAAAACATTAGCCTTTACATTCATCAAAATCCTACCACTAATGATACAATCGGCTCTCAATCTGTTGTTCATTTTTGACTACTTTTCAAGCGAAATTGAAGCAACTCAATTAATATCAGCCTCCTATGTTTAACATTTGTAGCCTCGATGAAAAATTATCTATAATAATTTATTGTCATGAGTTGCATAAGTTGATGTAATAGAAGATTATGTATTATGATTATAAAAAAAGAAGCTACTAAAAACTTAGGACAAGCGTTGCCTTGTTGTGCGCATATCTATAGTTTCATTTTATTTTTGTACGCTATATATCCATGGGAACAAATTATTCGTGAGATAATTTTTCTATCGAACTTCATGTCATTGCAGAATAAACGGTATAAAGTATTGTCTCGCGTTCCGAGTTCATGAAAAGAAAGAAAAATGTTTACAATATCGTGAATGAGCGATTACACGGTTTCTCGAATAAAAATATTAAGTATTTCAGGTGGAGTAAAAATACAAAAATTTTATTCAAGTACTCCTAGAGTATCCGAGAGTTTAAAAAAACAAAGTTTTTTCGTTCTTCAGCAAAGAAAAGCTTTTAAAAATGACTTGTTTAAATTTTTCATACTTCTTTTTGAATTTTTTTCCATTCGAGTTCTAGAAAAAGTCAAATATTTTTGTTTGGAATAGTAGTCAGAAGTTTCGTTAACATGTGAGACTATGTGATCAAGTACTCTAAATTCAAATACCACTAGAAAAAATCGGGAGCAGAAGTATAATAGTATTGGAGAGTACTCAAAGATGAGTATTCAAAATTTTACCTAGCGTATTTGTGTATCTTGCTTTGTAAACTCAAGGAAAGTCAAATATTCATTCTGACCTACGGCATCATCTTTCTGCTTTTTCTTCAGTTAAAAATTGTGCATTTACTCGGTAAAGTTATCTGATAAAACAAAGCTCTCGTGGTTTCACTCGGGATTATTAACTACTGATGCTACATAATTTCAAATATTTTGTTTAGAAATGCTAATTAACTGTAATTCAATAGAAAATTGTTGGTAAATCGCACTGATTGAGTCAAACTTCATTTTTTACATACTAGCTTTCCTCAGAAATCAGTTTTTGTATGTAGTGGTATGTTTTACTTGAGCGACATCTGCAAGATAATATTCTTTTTACAAATATCTGCTTTGTGTCTTCTGTGTATCTGGAATAATTTTCATGTTTAGAAAAGGGTTATATAATCGTGAACAGAAAAATCATTCTGATAAAAGGAGGTAAAACTGTAGAAACCATGAGTGGAATGGTGACCTTAAAGTATCGCGAAATTAGAAGTATTATCGTTTAATCGTCGCATGGTAAATACAAAAACATGGGTCCTAAACGAACAGATAAAGTGAATAGTGTCAAAGGTTCCATTTCTGTTATCGCACCTACACCTTCAACGCAAGGTGAAATAGGTTCGTATTCTGATCAACATAATGCAAATGCTATTTTGTTTATGCACTTACATGACTCAATTAGATTTGAAGTGTTTCTGAATAAAGTTAACTTGTCTTCTTTAGAAAATCAGCAATATGTAGGACGGTTTGCTCAAGATTTGAGTCTTTGCTGTCGTGAGACTGGTTATGTCATCGATGTTCCCGTACAAATTCGACCAATTATTCTTTTACCGCCCCCAACGATGTCAACCACAGATGAAGCTCCATCGAAAAAAGATGCAGGAAAAAAATTAGCAATAGCGCGAGCACCGTCCGCCAGTCAAAGTGTAATAACACAAGAGGAATCAAGATCGCTTAGTCATGGAACAGGTATACAATATAGAGAACGTAAATTTTCTAGTATTGATTTTAGAAAAATGAACAGAATCAAAGAGAAAAAAAAGCTGTTCATCTTAATCTCAATGTATTGATTGATAGTTTTTACTTTCTTGTAGGAGAAAAGAGTGCCACTGTTTACAAATTCTTGCACATTGTGAATGACAGTGAATATTTTCGACCAAAATTGCTTGTGGATTCTGATAATGATTTACCAGATGTGATCACAACACTTTATATGAGAGGTTTGTAACAATATATTGTCAACTTTTTATAGTAATTCTCTTTGTTCATATCTCTTCTAGCGTGGCAACTTGACTTAAAATTTTTGGAAATTCTGAAAAAAGTTGTTTCACTTCAAGACCAATTACACACTCTGAAGTAAAATATGTTAATTCATAGATACTTCTGTAAGACAATTCTTGTATTCTTTTTTTTTCTATTAGTTTCTGTTTTGTTGGTTTAAATTCTTTTACACTTAATGGAGTATCAGAACTATGCAATGTTTGCAAAAATCTAAAGTAACATGAAAATTTTAGTTTTTTTTGTGAGAAAATCTTTAAATTTTTCATGTTGTAGAAGTCTTTCATTGGACGGTAATCCGGTTGGTTTGTCTGAACAATATCATATTTTAATCGACAAAGAAGAATCCAAGTAAATATATTAAATATTGCTTTATTTTATATTTTTATGCTTCTTTTTTTGTTAATTTTATGTTAATGATTTTGTGTTTTGATTTTAGACTTCTTCATTTATCCCTACGTTTTTGTTCAATAACAGATGTTGGTGCTGAATTATTGGCAAAAAGTTTAGGAAATATGATCACTCAAAATTGGAAATTACTTACTTTAAATTTAAGTGGAAACAGAATAACAGATAAAGGAGCTAAAGCTTTTGCTAAAGTAAGTTGTTTATATTATTTTTAATAATGGACTACATTAATTACTTTTATAGGCATTACGTTTTAATCGTACATTGATATGTTTAAATTTATCAAGTAATTTTATATGTGATAAAGGTGCAATCGCTATGGCAATCGTAAGTCTTATATTAAATAAGAAATTTTCTGGCAATAAGTATGTGAAGTATTTAGATTTGTGATTTAAGTTAAATCGTCGGTAAACCAGTTTCAGTCTTTATGTTTTGTTTTCTTTTGTAAATGAGAACCCACTAATGTTGCTTAATATCAATGAATTTGAATGAAAAAATCAAAAGACATTCAAGTCGTTGATATTTCGATGTCTTAACATATTATGTGAAAAAACTAACTTTGCAGTAAAAGATTATGCTTTATTCGTTTAATTTATGTAAAAAAAAAAAAAAGATCTATTAATCGCTTTTGAATATAAATTATTGACATCTTTATTTGTATTTTTATTTTTATTATTTGAAGGTTTTAAGACGAATTGTCTTAACTTCTGAAGAAATTTTGTACAGAAGATATTTACTATCAGAACGTTATGGTGAATTACATTCAGATGAAACAAGAGTAGGAGTAAGTAGTTGTCTTAGATTTACTAACAGTAGAAAGATCAAAAAGAGAAACGCATGAACAAAATTTTTTTCTTTTACAAAGTATAAAATATATTTTCTTTTTTAGTCAGCATCACCGACAAATTCGACAATTTCTACCCTCAGTACGAGAGGTAAAGCAGCAGCACTACGTGAAGGTCGAAATGATTGGAAGCGTCTGAGTGACGTCAAACTAGCAACATCGAGAAAAACAACCAAAGCAGTATCGGTACCAAATGTTTTACATTTTTCTCTTTGTATCAGCAAATGAAGAACTTTTTCTTTTGATTATTTGAGGAAGTTCGACGATCTAGAGCGGATTCTGGTAAGATATTGCTCTACACGCAAGGGAGAGAAAACTGATTTGAATCAATCCAAATCTTTAAATTAAAGCTGATTTGAATCTCTAAAATCTCTTCAAATCTTTTTAAATCTTCAAAATCCTCAAATCAATTTTCTCCTGCTTGTCTACACGACTGACTGATGAACTATCGTTACATTTTTTGTTGTACAGATGAAAACCGAGCTCCATCCGCTAAAGATCGAAAAAAGTCTGATGTTGGTAGTGGAGTGACACAAAAATCTACACTCGTAGGAAGAGGTTCACTTAAAGTAACACCAAATACAACATCGAAAGAAGGTAAATACGTGCATTATTCGATAATATGTGCGCTTAATGGCACAAACACATACTTCTTTGATATATCAACTTTGTTGTTAAAGATACAAAGGGCAAAAGTAAAAAGTTATTAGCACAAAAAAAGATTCACATGGTGAAAGAAGAAGACGAAGAACAACCGTTAACTGCTGATGTATGTATTCTAAAAATTAATTAACATACAACTAGATTTTAAAAAAACTAATAAAAAGTATTAATTATTCAAATAAGACTTCTTTTTTTCCATTGATTTTTATTTCTAGTTCTTTTAGTTTAATGATAGTAAATACATTTCTATATATTTTTATTGAAAATTTACACTTAACTATTAGATTGTCAAATATTCAAGCAAGTCAAATTGTCTAAAGAATCAAATATTTACTAAACTTTAGTAAATTAGTCAATAATCCATACATCTAATTGTTGTTCGATTTGTATTTGCCAAGAAGATTTGAATGTTGTAAATTTGAATCTACTTATAGAATAGGTCTCTCGACTAATTAATTCTTTTTTGCGCAAACTATAAACGTGTGAAAAAATGAGTTCAAAACTAATTTTTTGAATAACATAACGGCAATAACGTTCATCAATTGTATGATCAAGTGTTCTTTCCATTCTAATCCCGTACGATAACTGAAGATTGATGAGAGTTTAATTTCCGGTACAAGGTTCAGATAAAAACATAGATTTTTATTGTACGCTTTGTGAAATATTTATCCCATCTTCCATCTGGTTCCAAAAAAAAGAACCAAATGAAAGTTTGAGATTTATAGTAAAAACTGTTTCAAGCTAAACAATTCCTTGTTAAAGAAGTTCTTTCATTGGCTTGGATTTTCTCCAAAGAGATCACTTCTGAGCTAGTATAGTCGTTACAGTTTATACCTCATTTCCTAATCATATATGCAGGGGCATCGAACATCAAAGCAACTATCATCAAAAACAAAAGTATGACAAATCACTCCACTCATTTTATTACTGTTAGCACATAAATTTGCATGATGAAAAATCAGTAATACCCTTCTTTCCCTTGCACAAAAGTGTTTTATGTAGTTAATTCCTCTTTTGTCTGTGTTTCTGTTATTAATCATTCATATTTCTAGAAGTAACTAGTTTACCATCGGTTTTTAGGCTGTACCATCTCAACTGATGCCTGAAAAAGAAAATCCACTATTTGAACAAAACGAAGTCGATAATATCAATGGAGATGTATGGTTAAATGGGAATCGGGTCCTATTGTCATTGAATTTATCAAGTAAGTGAAATTAACTTGTATAAGAAGAACAGAGTATTGATGTTGAAAAACTCAGGGAAAAGTGCCGGATAAAAAGCTGAAGCATTTATCAGAAAATGTATACATATAAGAACGGAGTCCTGAGCAACAAACTCAACCAATTAAATTTGAAATATTTAACACTAAATATTTCCATAAAAGACGTAGGAATACTACATGAAAATTAATAAAAACCAAATAGTTCAACAACACACATACTGTGATATTTCAATTACATCAGCACGAATAAATGATAGAAGATGACTTGTTACATTTCTTGTTTGATGATCATGAGACTCTGATCAGAATATAGAGGGGAAATATACCGTCTAATAATTGCGGTAATGTCAGCTGAAACGAACACGATGAATACTTGTGGTTGATAAATCCGATTTATATTACTCAGTACGTTTTACATAAATATGTTCTATAACTATATATATGATCATTTTCTATAGTTTGAAAGTACTTCATGTTCATGTACTGTCATATCGTCTAGTTTCATTATTAGGAACTACTATTACAATAAAACTAGTACAATACTTTAATTTCTCATTCGATATTAAATTTTACTTTTCTGAGCTCCCTTTTGTCCCAATCGATGAAAATTGAAAAAATCAGGCTCATATTTACAATTTTGTCAAGTAAACTGGTCAAATTTAGCTTTTCTACGTTTGTTTTAATTCTCTTGTCGTAAATCTGAATTAAATTTCTTTTTAGGAAATTATTTAACGATGAATAGTGTTAACGAATTTCTCTCAACTGTACAACAGCAAAACGCGCATACATCAATTGTTGGCTCATCAATACACATGGAATTTACTGGTTTATGTAGACTAGAGCTAAAAGTATGTTGAAACATCTGTGATACTTCTAAAATAATCTTATTTTATTATTAACTTGTTCAAGGGCATGGCCGATATTCAAAAAGATTTCCCCGAATATCAATCATTAGAAACACTATTATTACGTAAAAATCCATCAACTAGATTTCAACTACATAAAGATAAAGAACGTGAATTGATTGTACAATCAGAACAAATGTCAGCATTATCAACTAAAGATGGTGTACAACCATCGAGAGTAGCATCAAGTATCAAATCGACAAGTAATAATAGTTTATAGATATTTTTATTTAAACTTTTCATCTCACTCATTAATTGCTTTTACACTATTCTAGGTCAACGTCCAACATCACGTCTAAGAACAGATGTTTAAAACTTTGTTATTTCTTAAACTAAACACCTTGTTCAATAATACTTTCCTATGTACGTCAATTATTTTCCTTTTGTTGTGCATTATGTAAATACTGATAATCAAACAGATGTTTTTTTTACCAAAGATAAATGTCACAATGATGTATATTCGCTACCTTTTCCGCTATGTTTTATAACTTTTGATATTTTACCACTCATAAAATAGTTAACCTATCTATAAATTTCTCTAACTATGATGAGAAAACATGCTTTCTGTTACATAAAGACATAACTGATAAGAAATAAAAATTGATTTTGTATGGTTTACGTAAAAAATAACACAGTTCATCATTTAAATTAGTTGCTCACCAATACTTCTTCTGTTATGAGGTAAGCCATGTAATATTAAGTTTTTTAGTCAGAATCAGCAGTTTTATTTTAATGGACATATCATATCTGAAATAAAAAAACAATTTATTGATAAGAGAAATTAAACCACATCAAATAATGATGTATGAAAACAGGTAACGATCTTCATTGGATAGGAACAATACAAATCATTAAACTGTAGCATTTATCTAAGGGTATATTTGCCTCCCAAGGAAATTTAAATATTTATTTAATTGACAATGAATCTTTCCGATGTGATCCAAAACTTTTTTGATTAAAACGATTTTTTTCTAGGATAATTCCTCATACTATGATTCTATTATTATTGATATTTTCGAGAAATTTGGAAAATTTTCCCTTTCTCCATCACTCTAGTGACAGACACTTGGTTCAAGAAAGATTGATGTTTGTCATAGTATCACGGTACTAGGACAAGTTTTTGCGTTAGTACTAAAGACCTGAGAAAGTATAAAAATAATATTCTTGAGGTAAAGTATCTAAAAAAAAACTTACCCAGGTTAATGATTACGACCGTCCTATACGCCAAATTACGACGATGTAATTTGACGTATACTATAGTATCTCGTCGTATTTTGACGTAAGCCCGGCCAACGTATTACATCAGCCGTTATGACCGTCGTATTTCAACGTAAACGACATCGCACAGTGGGCAACCACATGGAAATTAGGCGAAAAAACGAAAATGAGATTTTTGGAAATTCAGATAATGTCACATAGACAGTATTCAATGGCCGATTTAGTGGTGAAAAAATTTTGATCCACATGCTTATGATGGCGAAGAAAATA